CCCCCCACCTCCCCCTCCCCCGCAACCACCACCAACCTGGTTCTGCATCAGAATTACCTGGAGTGTATTTTCCAAAACACACTTTTCCTAGAGAGAGGCTGACTCGGAGGTGTAAGGTGAGGCTCAAGTAGGTGTATTGGGAAAAATCTGGTGGTTCAGATGTTCTGCCAACTTTAGGAACCACTGACTTAAACAAATACTTTCTTTTCATGGATGAGGAAACTGAGGCTCAAGAAAAAGAAGGGACTTGCCCAGAATCCTACTCTTGGGATCCAACTTGAGGCTGGAACCCAAGACTCTGAATTCTTCCTTAGAGATATCAGTTCTGAGTAATGCCAAGAGGTGAGAATGGAGTCCAAATGCCTGTGTGCTCTGAGCCATGACTTTTGGAGGAAGAAACCCCCAAAGAAGGCTTCCCCAGGGAAGGCAGCATGAGGGCCATCTGAGTGCAGCTAGAGGGCAGGTACCTCTGGATTGGGACTGAGTAATGCTGAGAGCTTCGGTTCCAGGGACCTGGTGTGTGTGTGGAGTAAGCATGTAATCATAAGTGTGTGGGTGCATGTGTGCGTGGGTGCATGTGTGCGTGGGTGCGTGTGTGTGTATAAGGGCTTCCAGAGTGCTTCTTGGGCAGGTCCTGGCTGTCCCTCTGGCTGTCTCCTGCTGCTGGCACCCAAGTGAATGCAGAGTTAGAGATTAGGGGACTAGGAAGCATCTGGCTTAGTTTGACAGCATGCACATGGTTAATGAAGTCAGAATATTTTAAAAAGCTGTGACCTCACCTCCTCATATCATTGCAGGAAGGAGGTGACAGTCAAGGAAGTGAGAAAGGTCCTGGGGGAACAGGATAGGACAACAGAAAATGAGGGGGAACAACAGGTCCTCCTTCATCCCTCCCCTTGACCCCAGAGCTCTACCTGAGTCCCAGAGGGGTGAGGATCCCAGACTCTTAGAGACGTCGGATCAGGGCTCCAGGGTCTCCTCAGCACCCTGCATGTGACTGGGCAGGGGGCAAAGGTCAAAGCCAGGCCTTGGCCCTCTGAGATTAGAACTCAGCTCTTCGAAACCCAGCTGGAATGATCCAGTTATCAGAAGAAACTCTAGCAAGTTAGTCTTGGAGGTTGGCTCTGGGTAAAAATGGAAAATTGCCCATACACCTAATGCCCCCAAATCTCAGCCAACCCCCGCCCCTACTCCAAGCCCTTCCCTGCCCTATAGTTTAAGATTTTGACTACCTGGACCTGCCTGAAATTGGCCTGAAACCCAGAAAGGGGAGCTTGCTGGCTTGCATTACCCTAAGGGAAGAATGTGGTTCTCAGATAACTTACATTCACTTTATGGTCCACTCTAACTGCATGACTTTTATATATACATGTGAGATAGATATGTGTGTGTGTGTGTGTGTGTGTGTGTGTGTGTGTGTGTATACATATATATATACACACACATATATACACACACATATATATACATATGAGATCATATCCATTCTCCTGCATGTGTGTATACATATATACACACATGCATATATACACACACATATATATACATGATATATATATATCTCATATGTGTATATATATATATCATATTCATATACATCTTATAGTCTTGCTGAGGGGCATCCTAATAGAGATATTTTACCTCCTTTAGTCAAAACCTCCTCTGGCCCACTGCCCCTTGACTCCAAGGCGGTGCGAAAGGGTCCTGAACAGAACTCTAGCTAGTTTATTTATAATTCTCTTTCTATCTAAAGGAACTGACAGTTCTCCAAGTCAAAGTGGAAGGTCTGTGTCCATATATCTCCACATGTACAGCTGCATAAAGTTGGGCTCAAAGAGGCCAGGGCACTTGGCAAAAATTACCCCAGGAGACAGGCTCAGAAAATGGCTCTTCCTCGATCTGCCTTTATAGGAAAAGTAAGAATGTAACAAATTAGGAGGAATGGGATGGCCACGAGACTAAAACCAGTGAGAATCTGGAGAGAGAGATGGAGAGCACTCAGATCTCCCCCACCCCTATCCCTGCCTCTACTGGGCACCTGCCAGAGGGACCCAGCCCTGCCCACCTTTGCCAGGTCCTCTTCTCTGATGACCCTAAACCGGAAAGTCCCCTAATTCTAAACCGGACTAGAGGGAGCCTAGGGCTCCTCCAGCCCTCAGCTCCGGAGGAAGTCAGGGGTCTTAGTGTTTTCCACACAGTCACCAACGAATGCCAGAAACACCAAGCAGGGAGGGGACAGGACAACCGTAGTCTTAGCGGCAGCTTTTCGTAGCACCAGCTCCTCCCTGAAGGCTCACCACAGTCTTGGTTGGGGTGAGCATACAGAAACTGAGGTGATAGATGTCAGTGAGGCTGAGCAGAGGAGGAGCGAGGGCCAGAGGGCAGAGAAGGATGCAGGAACGAAGAGAAACTGAAGGAAGGAGCACATCCAAGAGGCAGAGAAGAGCAGAAGGGCAGTGTCCCAGGGGACAGGAGGAGCAGACAAACCTGCTGCCCTTGATCAGAGAGGTGGGTGCCGGGAGGAGCCCCTGAAAGGTAGTATGAGGCAGTGACTGTGGCTCTCCGCTCCAGGGACAGGGCAAGGGTGCAGGAACACCGCCACTTCTAGACACAACCTAGGGCAACACACTCACCCACTTCCGATCATCCAAACGGTTACTTATGAGCAAGGACAGCGTATGGATGGGGGAAAATAAGGCTCTGAACTCATCCAAATCCTCGTAGCCTCCTGTCTTTGCCGCCCCCCATCGCCACAGGCAGCAAGCATGAAGGCCAGGTATGGCGTGCCATGCACAGCCCCCCACCAGCCCTCGCTGCTATGATGGGCTGGTCTTCAGTCCCTTTCCAGCCTCAGTTTTCCAAAGATAGCATCAGCGATTGGGTACAGTCACTCAATGACTAGGCCTTGGCAGCTCCCAGCAGCATAGAAATCCTGGAGGCCTGGCCCCTCTGGCCAGCTCTGCCCTCTCCCTGTTCCCTGTCATGCCGGATCTCTGCAGTGCCAAGAGAATGAGGAGATAGTCTGACCTTGGGGGCAGTTTCTCGGGCTGCTGTCCAAGGAGGCTTCCTGGCTAGGTCCCAGTGCCCATGCCTTGCCATGCTCTGGGCTGACAAGAGTGCCAGGCTCTGGCCTGGGAGGCAGGCTTACAGCGCTGTGAGCCCAGGAGTAAGTCACAGAGGCAGGTGGGTGGCCTCTCTTTGGTGTGGATGTCTCCCTAGGGGCCCAGTACAGCAGCTGGCAGATGGCTGCCTGGTGCCTGGGAGTCCGGGAATCTGATCCAGGAGATTCCTGCTCCTAGGGAGGAACGTGGCGGGGAGGACGGGTCAGCTCAGCTGTACCCCAGCACTGATGGTTGTGAGGAAGCACCAAGCGAAGCGAGCAGTAAATAGGGAGTTGGGGGAAAATGATTCTAGTGGATCCCAAAGTAGCAATACTCCTGCCAGCCAGCCTCCACCCTCCCACTTTTACGTACACATTCTTTCATTCACTCAATCAACAACATCCGGGACAGGGCTAGCCGCTGGCAAATGAGGCAGACCCAAACCTGGGCAGCTCTGCCTTCTGATTTGCATGTTTACCTGAGGCCCCTGCCCCTTAGGATCTTGCTCTTTGGACCTGATACCCACCAACAGCTTGAGTTGAGGGACATGGGACCACCAGTACCAGGGAGAGGGGGTTCACAGTGTGTCCACCAACCTATGGGGACAGGGGAGGAAGACCCTAGAGTGGAATAAGAACAGTGAGGCAAATGGCAGGGTCTGCTCTGCACAAGAAGGTGGAGAGGGTGGTGGGAGAGGCGTGTTCTGTCCCCACTCTGCCATCTCTCTCACTCTCCAGACCCCAGACCACTGCCCTTCCTGCTCCCCTGTCCCAGCACCTCTGCCTTGGCACCCTGTGCCCCTTCCGGGCCTAGAGCAGTAGCCTGGCCTTCGCTCTAGCGTCCCCAGTCCCAGACAAGTCCCTTCCCCTCTCCAAGCTGTTGCGTGTTGAGAGTTCCAGGATCCCTGCTCCATGTCCCTTCCCAGCCCCAGCAAGTCCATTTCTCAGAACCTCAGGCTCCTATCTGCAGGACAGGGGTCTCTGCCTCTCCACAAGGACCCACTGGGCTCTACCATGGAGACTGAGGCCTAAGGTGCCAACTGGCTCAGTGCCCAGCACTTAATGTGTTCTCAACGATGAGATCCTTCCCGTGTCAAGGGCGCAGGGCAGCTTTGTGGGATGGGAATATGGGAGCTGAACCCAGGGCCAGCCAGAGCTTCATGGGGTAGAATGCCCAACTTTACCTCCCCATTTAATCCACTCCCATCTGCTCAGCTTTAATTACAGCAGAAGCAAACCTCAAGGTTAAACCCTGAGCTGAGGGCCGAGCATGGCCTTGGACCCAATGCTACATTATCTCCTAATGAGCAGCTTAGCTGCTCTCCCCACCTCTGCCCTGTGGGTGGGGCAACTGCTGGGCAGCATCACCAACCCTCTGCCCAATAGCTCTGGTCTCTATCCAGGCCTCCTCACCCTGCAGCTGCCCTTAATCTGACCTTAACCCAGCCCCCTCCCTAGCTTCCCCAGGCTGGCTCCTGTAGGAGAGGACCCATTCAGAGATCCCCCTTCCCGCCAATGGTGTCTGCAGCCTCCAGCTTCCGCTGCCTGGTGGACGTGGTGCCTGTGAAGAATGAGGATGGGGCTGTCATCATGTTCATCCTCAACTTTGAAGATCTGGCCCAGCTCCTGGCTAAGAGCGGGAGCCGCAGCCTGTCCCAGCGTTTGCTGTCCCAGAGCTTCCTGGGCTCCGGTGAGGCAGGGTGCAAGTGGCGGTGGGAGGGGTGAAGTGGGGGTACCAGGTGGAGCACCTGGTCCCAGGCCCTGGCTGCTCTGACCTTGGCCCTGGTTTCAGAGGGTTCTCATGGCAGGCCAGGTGCACAGGGGCCTGGCACAGGCAGGGTCAAGTACAGAACCATCAGCCAGATTCCGCGGTTCACGCTCAACTTTGTGGAGTTCAACCTGGAGAAGCACCGCTCGGGCTCCACCACGGAAATTGAGATCATCGCGCCTCACAAGGTGGTGGAGCGAACCCAGAATGTCACCGAGAAGGTCACCCAGGTGCGGCCTGCAGGGCAGGGCAGGTGGGGTTGTGCCGGGACTTGAGGGTCACTCCTCAGGCCCTGGGCCCAGGTTAGCAGAGGGAGCCAGCATGTCCATCCTCTAGTGTCTAGTCTGAGCCCCAGGCCTCCTGTCCTGCTCGAGTCTGATTCTTTGGACCTAAAGGCATACCCTAAGCCCACCAATCCGATGCCCAGCTCCTGGAGCCAGGGGAGGTTGTGTCTGCAGAGCCTGTGCCTAGTGCCACATTCTAGGCCTGGAGGACCCTGGGAGTGAAGGGAGCTAGGAGCGGGTGGACACACGCACATCACCATGGGGGCCTGTCTAAGGCTTTGCCAGTTCACAGAGGAAAAGAAGCAGAGAGAGGAGGTGTCAGAGCCATATTGAAGGGAGGAGAGGGAGGAGGGATGGAGGGAGGCCCCAGCCCTGCTGCTGCCCCTTGCCTTTGAGGTGACAGCCACCACCACCACCAACAGGATCCTCTTATAGTCCAGGCAGAGGGAAGGCAGCACTAGTATCTTCGGCTCTCTTTGAGCAGCGTCCTAGGATCAGGCCCTGAATGCCTCCCTCCCCCTCAGCCTCTACTCGGCCAGCCCAAGGCAAACCTCCCTAGGTTCTCTGTTTCAGCTGACCCAACTGTCCTCACCTGACCACTTCAGAAGGAAATGCAAAGAGCCTGCCCAAAGTTCAGGTGATCAAGGTCCTGCCACTAACTCTCTGCGTGACCTTGGGCAAGGAATCTTCTCCCCTTTCTGGGCCCCAGGCTGTCATCTGGAGGGCAGAACAGAATGACATGGTCTCCGAGGACTCATTAGACATTGAGTAACGCCAGCCCCAGGAGGCATCGAGGGGGTGTCTAGGCCAGGGCTGAGCAAGGAAGTGCGGAGCACGGAAGGGGGCCTATTCCAGCTTCCCCTGGGGCTTGGCCTTCATGGGGGGAGAGGGGGCAGTTCTTTTTCTCCCCTGCTCCTTTTTCACCTGAAGCACAGTCTGCGCTGGAATAGATGGAGTGGAAAGTCCCTACGACCTAGCCCCTCACCAAGCACAAGAACCCTAGGGAAGAAAGCACCCCAGGCGGCAGGGCCGGGCCCTCGGAGGTCAGGCAGGACGGCTCAATGGCCTGACCCTGGGAAGTCCACCTAGTTGCTCACCCCAGGGCTCTCAAGTTGGCTGCAGGGGTGGTGGGGCTGTTGTACTGGAGTTGCCCACGAAGACAGACAGGAGCAGACCATCCTGCTCCCCACCCCAGCTCGTCTTGGCTTTACTAGCCCGCCTGATGTGGGCCCTAAGGTGGGGAGGTGCCTGCTAGAGCTTAGGGGAGGGGGCCACCATGGGCCCAGAGGAAGGAAGTCATGCCAGCCCCAACCAGAATTTTCCAGCCGAGAGGGCTGTGATCCCACAGATGAGTTCCTACATTGTGAGGGCCCTGAAGCTCCAGGTGACACTAAGAAGGGTTGGCTGTGCCAGGAAAGGCTCTTCTTGTTGGCTCTAGAGGCAGTGGGAGACTTTGGAGGTCTGCGTGGTGGGGAAAAGGCACCCCTGTCTGGGGGCCCTGAGGAAGTGGACACTCTCCTCTCACCGCCCCCCCTCGCCAGTTCCTGCTGCCTCCCTCCCACTCCCAGTGCTTTGCTGTTTCGTTTTGGCCTGGTCCCGAGCAGCCCTGGAATGAGAGGGAGTGGCTATGATGGTCCAAGCTTTCGTGCTCATTCAGTCCACTTTAGTTGAGCCTCCGTGTGGGCTAAGTGCTGGGCATATAAGGTGGGCATGCCGGACAAGGGGACTGTGGCCTATGGTCCAGTGGGAAATAACTGCGTGGTCAGAAGTGTTCACGGGAACAGGGGGAACATGGATAGAGAGGGTCTAAGCTTGTGCGGGGCCAGAGGACACTTCCTGGGGAAGCAAAATAGGAGCCGAGACCTGAAGGCTGAGCAGGAAGGAGGTCACTGCAGAGTGGGGACACTGTGGCCTATCCTGTGGGTTAGGATGGCAGGTCGGGGACCCTCTGATCGAAAAGAGCCCTTTGGTGACTCTTCCTTATTGTGACCTCATCTGGTTTGCAAAATCAGAACATTACATCGCAGATTTTCTTAAACCAGGACCATCTACCAGGCCCTATCCAGTGGAGGTAGTGGGGTTAATGGAGTACCCCTCAGGCTTCACCCCTGTTGGGGCAGTGTCTGACATAGGATGAGCGGAAGGAGGAATTATCATGTAGAGCAGTATGTGCCATCCAGATAGATGCACCATCTCATTTAATCACAGTAAGCCCATGGAGTTTGCTGTGCTTTGTTATCTCATTCTGCCCATGAGGAAACAGAGACTCATAGAGGTTATAAAACTTGCCCAAGATAGACATAACAATGTCAGATCTGGGATCGACCTGGGAAGTATGGTTTCAAAACTCATATCCTTGCAGATGCCCCAGCCATTTTTTATACTGGGCAGCTGGGTAGAACCTGAGTGTGTTGGGCTAGGCGCTTCTGATCCTATGATGCCAGAGAGTCAGAGGCAGGATAGGAGGGGGCTCGGCTGAATGTAATGATCAACCCCCCTTGGATATGTGCAAAATAGTCAAGGCTCCCTGGTACCCAGGACCAGATTAGTTACACACCCAAATTTGACTCTTTCCATGGAAGGCTCTGAGAGTTGGCCCCAGGGAGGTCTTCATTGGTCCAGGCCTCACAGGGCCTGCCCAGGCCTCATCCCTACATCTTCACCCCTCCCAGACCCGTCTAACCAGTGGTGGCCATCCCACTGACCACCCTATGGCTCCCACCCCAGGTCCTGTCCTTGGGTGCAGATGTGCTGCCAGAGTACAAGCTGCAGGCGCCGCGCATTCACCGTGGGACCCTCCTGCACTACAGCCCCTTCAAGGCCGTGTGGGACTGGCTCATCCTGCTGCTGGTCATCTACACGGCTGTCTTCACGCCCTACTCGGCCGCCTTCCTGCTCAGCCACCAGGATGAGTCTCGGCGTGGAGACTGTAGCTACACCTGCAGTCCACTCACCGTGGTGGACCTCATCGTGGACATCATGTTTGTCGTGGACATTGTCATCAACTTCCGCACCACCTACGTCAACACCAATGACGAGGTGGTCAGCCACCCCCGCCGCATTGCCGTCCACTACTTCAAGGGCTGGTTCCTCATTGACATGGTGGCCGCCATCCCCTTCGACTTGCTCATCTTCCGCACCGGCTCTGATGAGGTGAGCAAACCCCATCTAGGTCAGCTCCTGCAGCTGTCCCCTGCGCCCTAGCTCTGGAACCTCCCTGGCCTCACAGTCCTGGGTACAGAGAACACCTGGCATTGGGCACCTCCTCCAAAGCAAGTGGAGGTGAAAAGGGGGCCACTCAGACATATGATATCTCCCAGCCCTGGAGAAGGACCAACTAAGGCTGTGCCCAAGGCCTAGGTACCCTTCCTGTGCTCCAGAACTCAGCGTCTTCTGGGACGGATGTTCCCACAGTCCCAGCCCCTCATGCTGACTTCTAAACCACACTTACCCTGGAGTTAGAAAGGGAATCTGCAAGCTGCTCCCTCGATGCAGCCTGAACCCCTTCTCACCCCCCAGCCCCTCCGCTGTGCCCACTCCACTTCCCTTAGCTGGTGTGAGGCTATTTTCTTGCTCTTCTTGCAGCTTCTAGTCTCACTATGTCCTTTTGCCCCCACCTCTTTGGGATCAGCTTTCCACTCCAGTCAACTCTGTCTTCTGTGTTCCAGTCACTCCCCCAGTCACCCCAGCCTGTCCAGCAGGGGCTGGCCCTCATGACTCCCTTCTCCCATGCTTACCCACTCCCAGAAAATCTACCCCCAAGTTCTCTCCCCTCTTCTCCACCCCCACTGCCCCTGCCCGAGCAGCCTTCTTACCCACCTCTGCCTCAGCCCTACAGCTGCCGGCCTCAACCACCTCCACACAGAAGTGAGTTTCGGATCACTTATCCGACCCTGTTACCTTCGATGGCTCCCCGATGGCTTGGAATAAAGGCCAAGCTCCTTATGGACCCTGAGGCCCACGAGAGCAGCCCCTGCCCACTTTTCAGGATCATTTCTCACTACTTTGCCATCTTCTTTCCTGTGCTCCGGGCTGCAGCTCCGCACTTGGTTTCTCACGTGGATTGTGCCATTTCTTACAGTCCAAGCATTTGCTCATGCTGCTCCCTGAACCTCGAATGCCTTTTCTCTCTCTCTCCTGTCTGCCTGGAGGCCCAGCTTCATCTCCCAAGACTCAGCTTATTTGTCACCTTCTCTACAAAGTTTCCCCGCCCTGCCCCTGCAGACTTCACCTCCCCTTCCCCTGCACTCTCTTTAGATTTCTGTCCTAGTAACCATAACACTGTTGAGATTTAGGCTGAGAGCTTCTTAAGGTTCCACACCGTGCCGCACTCGCAAAAGCCTGGCCAGAGTAGGTTCTCCATGAGTGTTGGTTGAATGACTGTGTGTTCAACGCAGTGCGTTTGTTGAATGACTATGCACGAGTGAACAAATGTGGTCCTGAGCACAACCTTTCAAGGGCTGCTGACCCCTAGCCCTGTGGCCCCCTCTCTGCCCCTCCAGACCACGACCCTGATCGGGCTGCTGAAGACGGCGCGGCTGCTGCGGCTGGTGCGCGTGGCCCGGAAGCTGGACCGCTACTCTGAGTACGGGGCGGCCGTGCTCTTCCTGCTCATGTGCACCTTCGCGCTCATCGCGCACTGGCTGGCCTGCATCTGGTACGCCATCGGCAACGTGGAACGGCCTTACCTGGAGCCCAAGATCGGCTGGCTGGACAGCCTGGGTGCGCAGCTCGGCAAGCGCTACAATGGCAGTGACCCGGCCTCGGGCCCCTCCGTGCAGGACAAGTATGTCACCGCCCTCTACTTCACCTTCAGCAGCCTCACCAGCGTGGGCTTTGGCAACGTGTCTCCCAACACCAATTCAGAGAAGGTCTTCTCTATCTGCGTCATGCTCATCGGCTGTGAGTGCCACCTCATGACCCAGGCCTTACCCATAGAATTCGGTTTTTAGTTTTGTAATGAGACATGACATAACACAGTAACAACGTGTGTGATAGACAGGTCTTAAGCATACAGCACAATGAAATATTGCATTGTGTACACCAACTATACACAGACTTTAACCCCCTTGCTCTGTGCCAGTCACCAGGACCAGCTACATCATTTGCAGGGCCCAGTGCAAAATAGAAATGGGGAGCCCTGTGTTTAAAAAGTATTAAGAATTTCAAGTTGGTGACAGCAGAAAATTAAATGAAGCATGGGGCCCTTCTTAGCCTAGGTGCCACATCCACGAAGCCACCCTGCCAGGCACTTTTCTAAGTGCTTATGGAAGCCCCACATTCTGTTTTCGCCATTCCCATGAGGGCCATATTATGAGCCCAGTTTACAGACCAAGAAACAGAAAGTCCTAACTTGCCAGGAGCTGCACAGAGACCCAATTCCAGCCCAGGGCTGTGTGTGGTCTCGGGCTCTGCACTGAGCTGCCTGCACCCCAAGACACCTGGTCTAGGAACACAAGAGGCAGTGGAATTTCACACGTAGATTAAGTTGTCATGTTCAGAGTATTTAGAGATGTGAAAACCCAGAAAAGCAAAAACAAAAAGAAAAAAAAAATTGGTGAAAACAGTAGACCAAGAGTTTTCCCTTTATTATGTGTTTACAACTGAAAGAGAAAACAAACCTGAACTAAAAAATTCCATTGCCCTAGTTCTTTCTTCTCAGGAGTTTGGATTCTGGGTCCAGAAAGATGCCAAAAGGCACAGGAAGGAGGGAGGAGGGCAGGAAGCCCAGGGGCCTCTGTCCCCCAGGTGCCCCGGTGCTGTCTTGGGCAATTCTGACTTTGCTCTGACCAGAGAAGTCTCTGACCATGGGGCTCCCAGGAAGAGGGAGGCTTGGATCAGGCCCTCGGGAGGCGTGGCCTGGTGTGGATGCGGAGGAGCTCACTCCCTGCACCCCGGCTCCCCTGCTCCAGCCCTCATGTACGCCAGCATCTTCGGCAACGTATCTGCCATCATCCAGCGCCTGTACTCAGGCACCGCGCGCTACCATACGCAGATGCTGCGTGTCAAGGAGTTCATCCGCTTCCACCAGATCCCCAACCCGCTGCGGCAGCGCCTGGAAGAGTACTTCCAGCACGCCTGGTCCTACACCAACGGCATCGATATGAACGCGGTGAGCCCCCGCTTCCCTGCCTGGGATGGGACGGGCAACCCAGCTCAAGTCCCAGCTCTGGCTAATGCCCGGGCGGAGGCCAAGGTCCCACCGGCACGGGTCACCCCCAGAGGTCTCCCCACCCGCTTCCCCAGCTCCATCCGCCTCGCCTCACAGGTGCTGAAGGGCTTCCCGGAGTGCCTGCAAGCCGACATCTGCATGCACCTGCACCGTGCGCTGCTGCAGCACTGCCCAGCCTTCCGCGGGGCCAGCAAGGGCTGCCTGCGCGCCCTCGCCGTCAAGTTCAAGACGACGCACGCACCGCCGGGGGACACGCTGGTGCACCTCGGCGACGTGCTTTCCACGCTCTACTTCATCTCCCGAGGCTCCATCGAGATCCTGCGCGATGACGTGGTCGTGGCTATCCTAGGTGGGTCGGGCGGGGAGGGTGAGGTAATGGGACTGGAGATGTCCTGTCCTCATCACTTCATTCTTAATGATGAGGGTGGCACCTTTTATGACCTGCATATATGTGCTGAGCGTGTGCCACAGAGAGCTTTATTCCCAGCTCACTGAATCCTTAAAACAAACCTCTGCCATGGGTCCATTTTCCTGATTGGGAAGTTGAAGCTCAGAAAGGTCATGCTGGTAAGTGGCCAAGCAGAGGTTCCAGGGTAACGGGTCTGACTCAGAAGTCCAGGCAGGCTTCTATCTTCCTCCACTCTGGAGGAGCACAGGATCAGAGGGCAAGGGTTTGTCTTGGGTGGAAGGGAGTCTTCAGTATAGCTGCAGAGACAACTGGACCCTGGAGGAAGGATATGAGCACTGGGTAGGGGACAGATGTGGGGCACGTGCAGCCTCTGCCACTTACCAGCTGTGCGAGTGTGACCTTGGGCAGGTCATTTCTCCTCTCTGAGCCTCACAGGGCTCTCTCCTCATCTTCCTTGCCTTCCTCCCGACTTTAGCCCACCACAAGTCCCTGACTAGAATGCCAGCCTTGCCCTCCCTTGGTCTCCATAGCCAGGTTCTCCTCCAACCCCTCTGGACAGGACCCCTCTGGCTCCTCTGCCAACTCTTTTCCCTCTGGCCTGCTGTCAACTCATGTTCGCCAAGTGTGAGGCTCTGCTCTCCTCTCCTCACCTGGGCCAGCTCCTTTCTCCCAGGGTCTCCGCCTCCACCTATGCCACAAGCACCCCCCAGAAGTCTGTCCCAGCCCCAATCTCTCCTTAGACTAAAATGTTCCATTCCTTCCTGGGCCACCCTTATAATCCATAGGCAGACGAAGCAACATATTTCAGTCTGAAATGATCATCTGCCTTCAAAAGCAGCTCCTTTGGCTGTGAATGATCCATTGCCTGGGCCAGAGACCTTCCTGCCCGCCCCCACCAACGAGGCAGCCACATAGCCCTGACTGTTCTCCTCTCTATCCTACACGTCTCCTTGTCCTGCCTGGGTCCGGCCCTCATTGCGGCCTTCCTGGGCAGGTGTCAGGAGCTCCTTTGCCATGGCCCTGCATCTGGTCTAGCCCCATACACCATCTTCCACCTTCTGCCGGTGACCTGAGATTCATGTTCTACTCAAAATCCTTCAGTGGTTCCCCATGGCCTGCGACACAAATGTGAACCCCTGTGAGCACAGTCCTCCCAGTCTGGCCACCCTAAGTCCTCCCCCAATACTTCAGGCTCACAAACTACTTATCATTCTCTAAACCTGCCTATCTCTGTCACATGTCCATGCCTTTGCCCGTGCTGCCATTCTGCTTGGAGCACCTACCTCGCACCCCTGCCTGGCAGATTCTCGTCATTTTTTGAGCTGAGCTTAAGCACAGGCTCCTCTATGTGACCTTCCCTCATTCCCAGCCTACTTTAGGAGGGCCATCCACATGGGAGGGATAATAATTATTATTAATAATTAAGAAGCCAGTCCAATTTAAGTTTTGGATAGAGACATGAAATCCTCTCATTTTGTCCTGAGTGGAAATGGACATTAGAGCATAATATTCATCTACTAGAAAACCATCACTTTATAATGTTATCCAGATTTCAAGCTCTTAGGTTTCATATGTGACCCTGGAAAGTCCCTTCCCTCTTTAGGCCTCAGTCCCCTCCTCTGTGAATGACCTTTGAGTCTGTTCTCTTGGGCGACATGTCTTCGTCTCCATCTATCATTGTCTGCGTAAACTATTAATGACCCTGTGTGGTATCACCAGGCTGAGGGGGCTGGACTTTCTTTCGAGGAGTGGACATCAAAGCAATCATGGTTCCTGGCACCTCTGCCCTGGGCTCTCTGCCTTACAGCCCTGAGTGCAGCACTAACCACACAGTTTTTTTTCCTGCCCAGATTGCCTTTCCCCTGGGACCCCGTCTTCCACAATTCTCACAATCCGGCCCCCATTTAACTTCCTCTGTAAGCCCCCCTCTTCCCTACTCTCAGTGCCCCTGGTGGAATTAGCCCCACCCTCTTCTATAGCCCCATAGCTCTTGGTTCTCCCCTGTTCTAAGGCTCTACGAATCATTCTACAAACTAGTTACTTGCTTATGTGCCTGTCCCAAGGGGATGTTAGGAGCTCCTTGTGGGAGGGACAGCATCTTATTCCTGTTTACCCTCTATGGCCAGCACAGTGCTTGGCACCAGGAGGGCCCAATACCCTCATCACATGCCCCAGGTATCAGCCCATGTCCACCCTTTTACATCTGTTGCTGCCAATGCCTCGCATCGACCTCTCTGGTGCCTCTCGCTATTTGAGACACTTTCTCAAGCATCACGTCTCCTCCTCTGGACAACCCAGTGGGGTAGGCAAGGCAAATATGGTTGTTATACCCATTTCAGAGATGAGGAACTTGGAGTCTAGAGAGGGGAAGTGACTTCTCTAGGCTTCCTCTGCCAGAGCCATGCTGGTTACCTGGCCCCACAATGGGGAGTAGGAATACAAAGAGACAGAAGCCTCAGGCCCTGCCTGGGGGAGCCGGGTGCTCCTGGACCTGGGTTCCCTGCACCCTTACATCACTGTAGTGGGCTGAGGAGAGGGGAGGAGGTTGAGCAGAGAGCGCTTAGTGTCTCTTACTGCCCACACTCTCTTAGGGTGGGCAGGGGAGGACAGTGCCAAAGCACATAGAAATAGGAGTGGGGATTCTGATAGCTGGTGGTCTTGAGGGGCCTGGAGACAGCGGGAGGACCCACATGATGGAAGGGGGGTGGGAGTCTCTGCAGAGCTTAAAGGACAAGGTAGAAGCATACTCCTCAGCCCCAGCCAGCACATCCAGACTTGTCCCCAGAAATTTATACTGAGCACCAGGCCCAAGCCTGGCAAGATCCCTGAGGTGGGAGAGAGGTCATGGACAAGAGGATTTTAGGGAGGCGCCTCAGAAGAGAGCTTGTAGCCAGACCCTGGAGAGACCCTCGCCCCTCTGGCTGGCAGGAAAGAACGACATCTTTGGGGAGCCCGTTAGCCTCCATGCCCAGCCAGGCAAGTCCAGCGCAGACGTGCGGGCCCTGACTTACTGCGACCTGCACAAGATCCAGCGTGCAGACCTGCTGGAGGTGCTGGACATGTACCCTGCCTTCGCAGACAGCTTCTGGAGTAAGCTGGAAGTCACCTTCAACTTGCGGGACGTGAGTCTGGGCTGGGTGGGCCAGGGCGGGTGGTGGCCCTTGGCCAGCTGGTAACTGGTAATGGCCAGGCAGCCTGCTGAGAGCTTGGCCTGCCTGGGGAACCCATCTGACCATCTCCTTTGCTTTCAACCCCATGCTGTGTCCTCATCAGTATTGATCCAGCGTGCAGACCTGCTGGAGGTGCTGGACATGTACCCTGCCTTCGCAGACAGCTTCTGGAGTAAGCTGGAAGTCACCTTCAACTTGCGGGACGTGAGTCTGGGCTGGGTGGGCCAGGGCGGGTGGTGGCCCTTGGCCAGCTGGTAACTGGTAATGGCCAGGCAGCCTGCTGAGAGCTTGGCCTGCCTGGCCTGGGGAACCCATCTGACCATCTCCTTTGCTTTCAACCCCATGCTGTGTCCTTCACCATAAGTTTTTCTGTATCTTCCAAGGCCAGCAAAATGCTAAGTATGATGATAGCTACCAATTTTCGAGCACCAGCTATGTGCTAAGCACTGGGCTCCTTTTACGTTATCTTATTTAGTCCTCTCCTTGCAAATGGTGTTATTATCCCCTTTTCCCAGATGAGGAAACGGAGGGTTAGCGAGGATAAATAAATTGACCAAAACCATACATCCTCACAGTAAGCCACACAGTCAATGGCGGAGCCAATCTGTGGAGTCAAGTTTGTGCGACTCCATAGCCCAGGCTTTTCCCACTGCTTCGAACCAAGCTGAAAGGGAGGGTGTCTGCTGTCCAGGTGTAAAGAAATGATAAAGCTGTGTCTCCTCTCAAGCTTATCACTCAGTGGAGGAGACTAAACAACTAAGGAACAATAAAGAGCCACACAGTTAAACAATCACGAGAGTCACGGGGATGTGCCGGGAGACCGAATTTCTGTGGAACTCAGGGTTGCCAAGGTGTGGGATGGCCGGTGTAGCCTGAAGCCAAGAAAGGGGATGCATGGAGGAGGGGGCCTGGAATCAGCTAGTGGGAAGGAAAGAGCAGGCACACCTGGGTGGGGCAGCAGTGGCTGAGGCCCTGGCTTTGAGCCCCGCTTCCCCCAACATACTCCCCCAGCCTCAGGAGGAAGGGTTCTGCTGGCCTAGGCCCCACACCCAGGTGGAGGGCGTGGTGCTGAGGCAGGTTTTCGTTGCTAGGGACAGCCTTCACCACCCTGTGCCGTCTGTTCTCCCCCTCCCCAGTCTTTTCCCTTCCCACCTGATCTGTCCAGGAGATATTTTGTAAGGACCCAGTCTTGGGGGGGCCCAACCATTAGGAGCCATCAGGTGGCCTTAGTGCTCACTGGCTGGACACCAGGGCAAAAGGGATGTGATTTCCACAGCCTGGGGCATCTGTAGCCCCTGGGTGCCCCAAGTCTCAAGGTACCAGGAGGGCGGGATACCGAGGGCACTGCTAAAGGCACCTCCTGAATGGATCGGGGATTTCAGATCCAGCCTCCTCAAAGTAGAGTCCCCATTGGCCCATACTGAGGGAGCACCAGGGCATTCAGGAAAGGGAGGACTAGAAGAATAGCTCTTCTGCCTTCTCTCCAAAATCTTGATGCCCAAGGCAGCCTTTCCCAAGACTCCATGGAGTCTGGCATGTGCCCACACCCCTGTCCATCTCCTGTGCTCCAGAGCAGGAGAGAGCCTGCAGGAAGGTACCTGGAGAGTCAGGGAAGAGCCCAGCCCCTTGTCACCACTTTTCTTTTTTACCTAGTTGTCACAAGGGTCTCGGGGGGAGCGGGGAGTAGGGGTGCAAGAGTGAACAAAGAGGCCCTGTCCCAGATTTGGTCCCTGTTACTTGATGCTCTTGTTCCCCACAAGGCAGATGGGGGTCTCCAGTCATCACCCCAACAGGCTCCAGGCCAGGACCACCAGAGCTTCTTCCTCAGTGACAACCATTCAGGTGAGCAAAACCAGCCCCGACCAGTGTCTGCCCTGCCCTAGCCCAAAGCTTCTGCCAGCCTCCTGCCCCTTCTCCATCCTCCCTCTTGCTTCCCCTGGAAGAGGCCTCCCCGGCCTCCGGATGAGTTGGAAAAGGGCTCCCTAGGCTCAGTACTACAGGCCCTTGTGCCCTTCCTTCCCGCTGTATCCTCATACCCAGAGTGAGGGCTAGCCAGGTAACCAATGTGGCCACAAGGCAGAGATACCGGCTAAGCCCCTGGGGTTCCACGTCAAGGCACCAGGGGACCCAGTAGGCTACAGCTTCCTGGCCAGTGAGTCCAGGGCTGCACATCCCCACCCAGCCAGCCCCTCTCCCCAAAGCTGGGACCCCAGTTCCCCTCTCAAGGCTACAGCTTTCTGGGTCTTGGAAGCCAGACCTCTATGGGGGCAGGACCTCATACTCCAGGGCAGCCAGGTAAGGAGATCCACTTCTCCCACCCTGTGTTCCCAAAGCAAGTAGGGGGAGGGGCATGGGCTCAAGTCTGTGGAACCAGCTAGACTAAGCTCAGACTTTCCTTTCCTTCCTGCAGGTGCAGCCCCTTCCCTGAGCCTCTCAGATGCATCTGACCTCTGGCCTGAGTTGCTGCAGCAAGTGCCCCCAAGGCCAAGGTACAGCCCCTCAGACCCTCAGAGAGACCCAGACTGCTGGCCTCGGGAGCTGGGCTCCAGGCTAGAGCAGCTCCAGGCCCAGATGAACAGGTGAGTGCCCTGTAGGACAGGGTTCGATGGCTGCAGGGTGCAGTCCCGGCAGCGGGCTAGGCACGGGTGCCCCCTCCTGGTGACTCAGGGACATCACTGGATGTCCTGTGAGTTTCAGAATAGCCGACCCCATTTAAATATCTCTATGTCCCTAAGTACATTTCCTTGTCCCAACAAACTCCGGAACATGCCAGGGAAGTTTTCTTAGGGGAGGGGCATAACCTCACGCAGAAACAAATTCCATGGGCTCTTGGAAAAGGGGTGTGACCTGTGGAAGGCAGGACTGTGGTGGCAGAACGAGGGCTTAGGGGAAGGATACTCCTGAGTTCAAATTCTGGCTCTGCAACTTACCAGCAAGAGTGTGGGCAAATTATTTAACCACCCTGAGCCTCTGTGTTGCCCTTTTGTGAAATGGAGATAATCAGACTACCCATGACAAAGCTTCTTTATGGGGACCGATGATGTGTGCACACGGTGCCTGGTCACTATTATTATCGAAGTCAGGGCTGTGCTAAGGGGCACTTGGGGAGGGGCTGTGGATTGTAGC